ATTCCCCAGTCAGCATGGAAGTCCACTCATCTTAAAGTGGCCAAGTTTGGACAACACTGCCTTAAACCAAGGTGAGCATCCACAGTGGGACTGGAGAAGATGCCTTTCAACAATATGCTTTAGATCAGTGTTTCTCAACTTTGACAACTTGAAGATGTGTGGACTTCAACTCGTTTATAGATTTATAGATGGCGTTTATAGATTTGTTACTTATGATTTTAATTGGGGGGTATTTATATTTTTATTGTTTTTATTGTCTGGTTTTTCATTGTAAGCCACCCAGAGTCACCCTCGGGGGGAGATGGGCAGCATGTACATTTAATAATAAATAATTAAACGGCTGGCTGGCTGGCGAATTCTGGGAGTTGAAGTCCACACATCTTCAAGTTGCCAAGGTTGAGAAGCTCTGCTTTAGATTATATTATAGTGGAAATAAAAAGAATTGGACCTGGGATTAATTGATTGATTGATTGATTGATTGATTATATATCATCAAGACAGCGTGACTCTTAGCGACTACATAGCTAAGATTGTCTCCAAGACACTCTGTCCCCAGCCTGGCCTCGTGGGTCTTCCAAAAGTACACCCACTGCTGCAGTACCAAGTCCATCCTTTGCTGCTGACCGTTGTTTTCTTCACTTTCCTTCCACCTTCCCCAGCATTATGGGGTTCTGAAGGGAGCTGGGTCTATACATAATGTGTCTGAAGTAGGATAAATCAAGTCTGGTCATTTGTGCCTTGTGTGAGAACTCTGGGTCGATGTGCTTTATGTCATCATGTAAAACAGGGTTTATGTCCCTGAGTTCAGACATTTCTTGATGTCCATGTGCAGTTAGGTACAATTTTTCCACAAATATCTTTAAACTTGAGGCAGCCATTGGTTCTGAAGAGAATTATTTGGGTGCTTGTGGAGAGTGGGACTAGATCAAAACACACTGAGGACTGGTTGAGATGTGCAGTTCCCACTCTGAATTTCCTGTTTAAGATAGCGATGGCGCATGGATTCATTTTGATTGCTTGGAAAAAGTATGTGCAGTCCCACCATGCAAAAGAACAGTCAGATTTCTGGGGTTAGTGCTAATCCAGGACCAGCTACATGAAACTCAGTTATCTTAATATGCCTCAATTTTGCACAAAGCTATCCCACCAAGATCCTTGCTAAAGGGGTGGTGGGTACCCCTGTGAAAATATTAACTCATGGATTTACTTCCAACTTCCCTCCCCCACCCCCCAAACTTCCTGGCCTAGGTAAGCCTGCCCCATTTCTAAGTGGCCCAGTTGGGGTTGGAGCCCCTCAGACAGAGCTGGGGCAGGCTTACCAGCCCACCTTCTTGCTGCCCCGTTTGACCCTCCTGTGGGCCTGTGAGAACAGAGGGCTGCCAATCAAGTGAAGCTAATGAAAGAGAAGGCTTTCCTAGACAGGCTCCTTTCTGTTGGGTTGCTCTAGGGCAGTCTCTCTGAACCTTAGCCGCTTGAAGACGTGTGGACTTCAATTCCCAGAATTCCCCAGCCAGCCTTCCTTGCTGGCCGGGGCAATCTTGGGGGGGGGGTCCCTACATCTTCCAGCTGGCCACGGTAAGAAAAAGTGGGGTTGGAACTATCT